TCCACCATTTCCTTCCATTTCTTCCGATCCCCGGCTATTATATTTTCCTGTCTCCCAAGACATCCCTGTTGGCTTCAGTTCTTCGAGAAGACTCCGCCTCCAGGTCTGTCTTGGGCGACCTCTCTGCCGCTTTCCCTGGGGTTGCGGGGTTGAATAATTTTAAGCGTTATTAATTAGCCTGAATAAAACTACCTTAGCCTAATAGCTAGAAAACTACTATAGTTTCAGATTTCTAGATATTTAAAAAAAAAGTCAAAATATTTTATAGCTTTATGGCGTTTTTTTTCCAAATAAAGAGCAAAGAGGAGTAATAACTGCTTTAGTTTACACTACCGTAAATCATGGGTTGTTTCCCTTAACTTAATGTTATAACTGTTTCGTTCATAAAATAATTCATACAGTTTTAACTAAAATTTACCCCTATCCGAATATGGTAAGATTTCGCCTGAAAACAGCCAGACCTCATCCATAAAACTGCATCACACTTTTATTTTACCCCCTCTATTAATTCTAACCCCTACCTACCTAAATCAACCAACAATTACACCAGTCTAAAAAATAAACCTACCAACAAGCCTCAAATGTTATTTTCTTCCAACATCGATAATTCATAAAAGTCATCTTTACTTAATAAGATTACTAAAGGGTGATCGTACTTCCCCTAAGTTTATCGGATTCTTCAAGCTACTTTTTTTTGTTTTTGCTTTTTATAAAAAAAAATGCCCACCACAGTAATCTGTCCCACATCTCCTTTACTGGCCCCATGCTGGGGGGGGGGGGGGGGAGGGGTAGAGAGTTGGGGGATGTTGATTGAAGAAATGGGCTTCAGGGCAGGAGCCACTGTCATCAGTGAGATCTACTTAGTCGTGGTACGTGCATCAGTATAGTATACAGTATGAGAAGCCCTGTTACTTAATTACTTGTGCTTTATGTGTATTAGAACTTTATGAGAAGCCCTGTTACTTAATTACTTGTGCTTTATGTGTTTTAGAACATTATGAGAAGCCTTGTTGATTAATTACACTGTTTTACGTGTATCAACACAGTATTAGAATCCTCGCTAATTAATTACTTCCGCCTCACAGATTAAAAAATTACACATTGAGATTAGACATTGTACATATTCGCGTTAATCGGGTGATTATAATGTTTTATTTTGTTGTCCATAATGTTCGCTGAATCAGTACAACCGGCTCTTTGATTATTGTGATATGGTTTAATTTAAACTGACCATTTCAAACACTGACTGGCATTTAAACTGACCAATTGAAACACTGACTGGCATTTAAACTGACCAATTGAAACACTGACTGGCATTTAAACTGACCAATTGAAACACTGACTGGTATTTAAACTGACGAATTGAAACACTGACTGGCATTTAAACTGACCAATTGAAACACTGACTGGCATTTAAACTAACCAATTGAAACACTGACTGGTATTCAAACTGACCAATTGAATCACAGTAAGTTATTAAACTGAATAAGTTTAAAACTTACTGGCATTACACTAACTTAGTAAAGCATTGACCAGCTATTACCGTGACCATGTTAAAAACTGACCAGCTGTCTTTAACCCACCCTCCCCAGATGATCAGCTGTGGCCTATATTTCCCCCACCGTCACCTCACATCAAAACCCAACAAAAATTCTTCCGGTCTGGACTACGACGCTATTGGTCTGGAATCACAAAACGTCTTGGGCGGAACTGACTTTCTGAAACTTTGAAATCCATATAGATCTAGATCTACTTCATTTTACAACAAATTACCGTCAAAGTCTTAATACATTAAAATGTAAAAAAAAAACATTTAAAAAAATTATAAAGAACACATATCTTAATTTATTTAAAATTTATACTTCTATATCATGTTTGGACCGTTTTTATTAAAATCATCAAACACCAGTGTTTCTTTAAGACAATTTTCACGGGGGTTCTTACTTGAAGTTTTCAGATGACAAAATTTTCCGGAGGTGAGGAAGGGGGGGGGGGGGGGGGAGGGGGGAGGTCACTGGTAAAATTCTATATTTTAGATATACATTTTTATTTCGTTCGATGATTGGGGCGTTTAGACGGTCAGTGTCTGCCTCCCCCAAGGAGATGCCTGAAAGAAACTCGCGCGGTATATCGCGATCTGTCAGAATTCTCCCCAACCACTCTTGAAAACCGGACTAATGAGTCTAACATGCATGCAAATAAAAACCGCCTGTTACAGATTTTGTTCGAATTGTGTTTTTCGTTACTGTAGATTGGTGAACTCAATGTGTATAGCTTGCGATAAACCTCACTGCTCTGAGTTTTAGCTCATCTGACGTCACGCACATTGTAAAGTCCACTAATCTATGACGGGGTCTAGATTGTAATCAGGGTTAATTAAAGGACGACCGCTAATTGCTCTGACCATGTAATCTGGAGGTTAATTACACCGCTGTAATGGACATGCAACCCGTGTTGGTATGGCTAACTCAGAAGCGATGTATTTTTTTAAATTTACTCAACAAATTAAAATCGAACAGACATTTATGCTATCATGAGTTTAAAACAAAATCGTTTAGTTCTTTTGTTAACAACTTGTAACCCAGATACCAGCCCTTACTTTAACTAAAACCAAAACTTAAAATCAAATATCAGAAAGATCGGCCTCTCTGTTTACTTAAAATGTAAAGAAGAAATGTCTAAAAACTATTAAGTCAAAACGCAAAAAAATTCCTTAGTAAAAGCCTCGTTGTTAAGGAGAGCGAGCGTTGCTAGGCAACCATGCACCGCAAATGAAACACAAACAAACCCACTTGTCTAGTGTTTGGTTATCACTTCACTCGAGGCTGTGGGGGGAAGCCCGGAAGTCACGTGACGCACAGTGCGGGAATCACGTGATAACCCACCAGGGAGTCAGATAAGACCCGATGGTGGTCTGTGGTATGGCGGGTCTGGTCACTTCCATGACGTCATAGCGTCTGAGCTGGTAAAACGTCAAACTAACACATCTTGACCACAGCACGCTACCATTCACATTAAAATCAATTTGGTTACTGTAGGGTCGTATATAAGACAATATGGCTCGATTTTTTGCGTGGTCAGATGGTGCAGCGCACGACTGAAAACAAGAAAAGTCTGGAGTTCACATCCAGGACTCGAGTCCGTGGGCCGTCCCTGAGTTCACCCAGCTTTAATGAGTACCTGACTCACGTTAAGGCGGCTGGACATCATGCAGACCACACTAACCATATCATATGCCGAAGTAGTTGAAACAGATGAACTCTACTTCATCGTGCCTTGGCTACTGGCTTATAAAGAAAGTTCTGCAGGATTTGGGATAACAGTTAAAAATATTCAAATTAATGTAATTATAAAAAGAATTACATAGATTCCTAATCATATTTTCAATAGGCTTTATTCGGTCAAATAGTTTGTTGATAATAAATCAAAATACAGTCGTTCGTCATAGTAAACGGATTCGTCAGTGAGGGTTTCGTCAAAATACAGTGTTTAATAAAATTAGTGCTTCTCGTTCCGATACAGTGGTTCGTCAAAGTACAATGGTTCGTCATAGTAGAGTTGTACAAAAAGGGGAAGTAAAAACACACTTTTATAACGGTGAGAAGCTCCCCATTTGTCTACCCTGAACACATTAAAAAACAGACTCAATATTTAGCACGTACTAACAAGCGATAAATCATGCGATAAAAGACTTGATAAATCAATATCTCAACACAATCCTCTTGACTTCTAGTACCCCATTAATCTGTTCAGATAAGGTTAAAACTGATGATACATTCAGTCGATAAAAAATCCCAATATTCAAATAAGGTACAACAACGTAGATGTGTTAGCTTATACTCAATATGATATGGAAACGATCACGCCGAGGAAAAAAAAATCCCTTGAATCATCATTTAATTACACATTTGCATTTTCAGTTTCAGGTTGGTTTTTTTTTAATTTTTTTATTTATTTTTTTATATTTAGACGTTTTGTATTAGATCTATGTATAAGTAAACCATCTTAAATGAATGAAAGTGGGCTACAAGTAAGAAAGAAATATTACTATTGTAAATCTGTATCAGTCCTTGCCGATGATGAAAACTGTAATACTAAAGCAAACACACACAACTGACGCTGTAAATTACATGTCTGAGGCAAAAAAAAAAAAAATTAAAAAAAAAAAAAAAGAAATATGGAAACGATCAGCCGAGAAGGAGACGGGAGAGGTTGGAATGCCGTGGCCTGCACTTAACAGAATATCCGATGATAGAGGTGTATGCCGATGTGTGTTCTCGATTCTATGATTTATACGGTGACATACTGTATCAGAAAAAATACACACATATACACGTTACACATCTTGACTTACATTATTTGTTATACGGCAACTAAATAACAACATACCGTGTGGTGGAGGGGGGGGGATTTGTTATAGCTCACAATAGCGAATTTAAGCTGAGTCAACAATTTATCAACTTTAAAATACTTTTTTTATCACAGTCTTTGTTTTGAAATGTTGAACACTTTGACTTATATAAAAATACATAATGCTTTGTAAAAATATCCATTTCAATACAGTAAGTTTGTATTGAAAACGATTCGATTGTCTTAGTGCTGTTGTTTTGGTTTTTCAAGTTCCACAGCTAAATACTTAAGCAACACAAGCAGTTAAACATTTGATTATTGTTTGACAGAACTAGACTGTCTTGGGGTTGTGGCACTGGTCTCAGTCATACCTATTCCAGACATTCGGGTACCATCGGCCGTTAAACATTTGATTATTGTTTGAAAAACTTATACTGTCTTATACTGTCTTGCAGGTACCAAGACAAAACTAGACTGTCTTAGGGTTTAGCACTGGTCTTAGACTACCAAGACAAAACTAGACTGTCTTAGAGTTGTGGCACTGGTCTTAGACTACCAAGACAAAACTAGACTGTCTTAGAGTTGTGGCACTGGTCTTAGACTACCAAGACAAAACTAGACTGTCTTAGGGTTGTAGCACTGGTCTTAGACGTACCAAGACAAAACTACACCGTCTTAGGGTTGTGGCACTGGTCTTGCACGTACCAACTCCAGATATCCGGGTACCACTGTACACTGGAGTCTTGCATCATCTTCCGGCACAAGTTGCACGTCCACGGCACCTCCGGCACGGTCCGGTATTTGTTTTTTTCTTCCAGCATCTGCAGGTACAGCTGTTTGTCTTGCGACAACTTCCGCAAATACACGGCCAGCTCTTCCGGTGTATCAAAGTCCGCCGCGTCAACAAAAGTTTTGGGCGGGAAAAAACTTTTGTAGTCTGCTCCGCCCCGGACGACCGGTATGACGTCAACGTCGTGGAAAAGTTTGAAAAATTTCTCCGTGACGTAATCTTTACAGAAAGAATTCTCGAACGCCAGGTAGAAAAAATAGGAATGTGTTAGCATCGGCAGGCATATGTCACTGTCAGCCTGTCGCAGGTTTGTTCCCTTCACGCAGGTGTGGTTCCCGTCCCCACATCTGCCAAAGATGTGGACGTCAAGGATTGATCTCATGCGCTCCACGTACTGCGCGCGCAAACTTCCGGTTCTGCAATGGCTGACGAACCATGCGGCCTGGAAGGTTTTAGACGAGTAAATTTGGTCGTAGTTTTTCTTGGGGACGTCGTAAAGTCTTTCGAGCGTGCCGTACAGCTGGGGGATGTCTGAGTCTAGGCGGAAGGTCAAGGTCCAGTTGAACTGACCTAGTTTAAAGGAAATAATTGAAAAAAAAAACGAGTTTCAGATTTCAAAATTTTGTGTTGTGCAATAATTGTAAAATTTTACAGAAGCATCTTCATAGTGAGACCGAAAATTCCAACAAATAAAATATTTAGCTCACATAGCCAACATTACATCAACAAACCCACTTATATAACTAATGAACATAGAAACTAACCGGCTAACCATAAATCGACGACCACAAAGTAAAACACAACCCTGCCAAGTCAACCACAGTCCAATGACCCCAGGTACCCACAGGCGAATAACCAACGAGCTAAATACAAACCAGCTTTAAATACCACAGAACAGTAATCCCCCACCACCACCACAGCTAGTTAGAGATCAATGACCTCAAGTTAACCACAGTTCAATAGCCCCAGGTACCCACAGGTGAACAACCACCTAGCTATATACAAAACTCAGCTAACCAAATTCTCTCCCCCCCTGCCCCATATAATCACAAATCAATAAGCCACTAATCTAACTTAAGAACAAAGAAAATACCTTGCTAATTATACATCGACGACCACAAAGTAAAACATAAAACTATCAAGCTAACCACAGATCACTGACTCATTTCCTCTAAAAACAGATCAAAGACCCCCATCTAACCGCAGTTCAATAACCACCAAACTAAAAACAAACCTTCTCAGCTACCATAGATCAGACACCCCCCTCCCTACCACCACAGCTAACCATTTATGTGACCCCCAGCTAGATAGAGATCAATGATCTCAAGTTAACCGCAGTTCAATGACCCACAGGTAACCACAGGTGAATAACCACCTAGTTATATACAAACCAGTTTAGCTACCATAAAACAATACCCCCCCCCACCACAACTAAACACTGATCACTGACCCCCCCCCCCAGCTAACAATAGATGAATGACGACAAGTTAACCATATTTCAATAACCACCTAGCATTATATACAAACCTGCACAGCTATCACAGAACGATCACCCACACCCCCACCACCACCCCCCTCCCCCGCCCAGATTACCACAGATCAATAACCCACCATGAAACTGTGTGAAATTCAAAGACCGGAAATTTCCGGCGCGACACGGCGCCTCTGGGGTCATCATGACCCATCTCTGTCCAGGTGGTCTTGTGAACTCTGGCAGCGATTTGTCCTGGTAGACTCTGGAAATAAAAATAAAAAACATTCTGGAATATTCTTTTATATATTGTGTTTACTGTATCAATACATCATATTTAGATAGGCTCACTAAGTCAATACTTATTTTCAGCGCGTTTATAAAATCAATACCTGAAATTTTTCTAAACTAAAAACAACAATAACTTATATTTTTACTACAAAAAATAGAACAAACTGTGCATAACGTGCGTTTCTATACGGATTCAATACAAGGAACTTCTATAGCTAAACAAGCACAAATAATTATCAGCATCGATCAGAAAATTGAAAATTTTTAGTTTTTTTTTTTTCAGTAGCTGTTAACCATCTTGTGCCAATGTTATAAGTGGCGACCATGACGTCACAAACAGAGTTTCTTCCAGGCATCTCATCGGGAGGGCGAAGCCCCCCCCGAAATTTTTTTACCGCCCCCCCCGAACGAAATGAATTTTATATAATTTATATAGAAAATATATACTTTTAACAGTGTCCGCCCCCCCCCGAAGAAAGTCTACAGGCCCCCCGAAAATTTCAAGTGCCCCCCCCCCCCCGGAGAAAAAAGTCTAGAAGAAACACTGGTCACAAAGTCCACTGACCAAAATAACATCTGTACTAAAAATAGCTATCCCCCCCCCCTATTTAAAAAAAACCCTTCCAGATTCAATACGAGACGATTCTTTGTTGTGTTGTATAAGATATGTGTTTGAAACAATACTATGTGATGCTATATTAAATTATGTTTTCATAATAATGTGTTGTCATATATTGATTTGTTGTTTTAATGTGTGTTTTTTCTTTCTTTTTTCTTGTTGTCTGTCGAGTTGCTGCCACATATGGTCTTGTGTTATATGTTGTTCTCATATGTGTTGCTTTCATATATTTAAATATCATAAGTGGTGTTGTTTTTTATTGTGTTGCCTTACGTGTAGTGTTGTCATAAATCGTCTTGTCATTTGTGATATTGTAAAGTATATTTTCTTTATAGTGTTGTCTTATAATTGGTTATCACATATGTTCGTGTCTTATATGGTGTTGTCGTGTATGATGTTGATGGGTATGGTGTTGTCGTGTATGGTGTTGTCGTGTATGGTGTTGTCGTGTATGGTGTTGTAGTGTATGGTGTTTTCATGTATGTTGTTGTCGTGTATGTTGTTGTCGTGTATGGTGTTGTCGTGTATGTTATTGTCGTGTATGGTGTTGTTATGTATAATGTTGTCGTGTATGGTGGTGTCGTGTATGCTGTTGTCGTGTATGCTGTTGTCGTGTATGCTGTTGTCGTGTATGCTGTTGTCGTGTATGCTGTTGTCGTGTATGCTGTTGTCGTGTATGTTGTTGTCGTTTATGCTGTTGTCGTGTATGCTGTTGTCGTGTATGTTGTTGTCGTGTATGCTGTTGTCGTGTATGCTGTTGTCGTGTATGTTGTTGTTGTCGTGTATGGTGTTGTCGTGTATGGTGTTGTCGTGTATGGTGTTGTTGTGTATGGTGTTGTTGTGTATGGTGTTGTGGTGTATGCTGTTGTTGTGTATGGTGTTGTCGTGTATGGTGTTGTTGTGTATGCTGTTGTTGTGTATGGTGTTGTTGTGTATGGTGTTGTTGTGTATGGTGTTGTGGTGTATGCTGTTGTTGTGTATGGTGTTGTCGTGTATGGTGTTGTTGTGTATGCTGTTGTTGTGTATGGTGTTGTTGTGTATGCTGTTGTTGTGTATGCTGTTGTGGTGTATGGTGTTGTTGTGTATGGTGTTGTCGTGTATGGTGTTGTTGTGTATGCTGTTGTGGTGTATGGTGTTGTGGTGTATGGTGTTGTTGTGTATGGTGTTGTCGTGTATGGTGTTGTTGTGTATGCTGTTGTTGTGTATGATGTTGTCGTGTATGATGTTGTCGTGTATAGTGTTGTCGTGTATGGTGTTGTCGTGAATGGTATTGACGTGTGGTATTGTCGTATATGTTGTTGTCGTGTATGTTGTTGTCGTGTATGTTGTTGTCGTGTATGGTGTTGTCGTATATGTTGTTGTCGTGTATGCTGTTGTAGTTTATGATGTTGTCATACATTGTCCTGTTATACATTATCATGTCAAACATCAAGCTGACTCTGTGGACATGTTGATGTCCTCCCTGAAATGTCGATGCCCTGTGACGGATCAGTTCACAGGGACAGGATCTAATGTTTATTAAACGGTCGGTTGGGATTCACGTTTTAGCGTGGGCAGTTTTTTCCAGGTCATTACACGTCACGGTCTATCTGTTTACGAGGGGAGGGAGGATGATAGGGGATGGGAGTGTTGGGGGTGTGGGAGGGGCAGGAGAGCAGAGGCGTAGCGACCCTTACCGGCGCCCGGGGACATACTTTCAATTTGGCGCCCCCCTCGGGAGCAAATTTTCGATTTGCACCCCCCTCGAACTTTTCATTTGCACCCCCCCCCCCCTCAAACTTTCGATTTGCACCCCCCCTCGAACTTTTCATTTGCACCCCCCTCAAACTTTCAATTTGGCGCCCCCCTAAGGTCGGCGCCCGGGGACATATGTCCCCCCCCGCCCCCCCCTCGCTACGCCTCTGCAGGAGAGTAATGGAGGTGGGGGCGGAGGTCAGTTAAAGGGGTGGTATTGATTGAGTTATGAGAGCAGGAGGTGAAGTATTGATGAAGTGTGGAGTTAAAGAGGGATGGTATGTATGGGGTGGGGGGTTGAGAAGGGATGGTATGGATGGGGTGGGTCTAGGGAGGGATGGTATTGATACGGTGGGGAGCTGAGGAGGGATGTTATGGTTGTTGGTAGGGAGGTCATAAGGGCTGGTATGGATAGGGATGGTAAGACAAAAACAGATGTTATTGATGAGGATGGGGTGGTCATTAGGGGGGGGGGGGTGATATTGGTGGGGAAACAGAGGTTAAGAGTGATGGTATTATTTGTGGAGGATGTCATTAGAGATGGTATTATGGGTTGGGGATATCATGAGGGATGGTATTATGATGAAGTGTGGTCAGAATGGATGGTATTGATCAAGTGAAAGGTTGAGAGAGATGGTATTGACGACATAAAAGATGGCAATAACTTCAATTTTGCAATAAGAAATGTAACTCTTATCTTGATTGTTCTAAAATGTATCGAAATCGATCGCAATAAAGACACAAGTTGAGAAAAACATTCCATTAAGAGTTATTCTATTTTGATGGCAGCAGCTGAATTCTATTGGATAGAGGCGGGGATCGGATGATGATTGGGTGGGGTAAACATTGCACTCAGCCAGTAGTGAGAGCTGTTATCTACACCGTGGGCAAAGGGTGAGTTGCCGTTTAGGTTAGTCGGCATTTATGGCAGTCGGCATTTAGGAAAGTCGGCATTTATGGCAGTCGGCATTTAGGCAAGTCGGCATTTAAGGCAGTCGGCATTTAGGCAAGTCGGCATTTAAGGCAGTCGGCATTTAGGCAAATCGGCATAAGACAAGAAGGGATACGGAAAATCTGCGTTTAGGCAAGTTGGTATTTAGGCAAGTCGGTATTTAGGCAAGACGGCATGTAGGCAAAGGGGGTAAGACAACTCGGCACTTAGGCAAGTCGGCATTTAGGGCAGTCGACATTTAGGCAAGTCGGCATGAGGCAAGTCGGTATTTAGGCAAGTCGGTATTTAGGCAAGTAGGCATATAGGAAAATGGGGTAAGACAACTCGGAATTTAGGCATGGCATCAGTATTGTTTAGGGTAGAGGGGTCGAAGGGCAAGTCAGTATTTAGGGGCAGTAGGGATTTAGGCAAATCGGTATTTAGGCAAGTTGGCATTTGGGCAAATCGGTATTTAGGCATGGAAGCAGCAATATTTAAGGTAGAAAATTGGCTTGACATTTTAATGTCAATTTTAGAACCAGATTTGTAAATACTGTATACAGACAATAAGAAATGTTATATTTCAGTGTGTTCAAGAGATGTATTTACTCTATCTGAATCGAGATTCGAGCCGGTCAGCTCTTTTTGTGACCCAGCATGAATGGGTAGACGCTAAGCACTGTGCTTGGGTAAATGTTGTAATTTGTCGATGAACTCTACTTCATCCATCCCATTGACCATCCATGCACCTCATTTAGTCTCTAGTGCAGCTCCAAAATACTTTTACTTCTTAAGAAGCCCCGCTCGATAAGAGTAATCTATTGAGTTGTAAAAGTTGAATGATTTGATATCCTGTAAAAGCTGACAATGTATGACTAAAATATTCACAGAGAAGAGACAAAGGCCAATGGTTAACATTTCTACATGTCAAGATTTAGCACAGAATTCATAGACATGAAACACATGTTAATGGTCAACATATCTAAATATCCAGATTTCAGAGGCGTAGCGACCATTCTCTGCAACCGGTGACAAACTTTCAATTTGGCGCCCCCCTCGGGAGCAAATTTTTGCATCCCCCCCCTCAAACTTTTGCACCCCCATCCCCTCAAGCTTTCGATTTGCACCCCCCTCTCAAATTATTTTTAATGCACAAATGCAGCTAAAATGACATTTTAATTTCTTTTTCTAACCCATTTTGGCGCCCCCTAAGGTCGGCGCCCGTGGACATATGTACTTCCCGCCCCCCCCCCCCCCCCCCCCACTCGCAACGCCTCTGCCAGATATAGAACAGAATTCATGGACATAAAACATAGACCAACGGTCAACATATCTACATTCTACGAACCACCACATAATTCAAAGACACGAACCACTGTGCATCGATCAATACCTCCCCATCCCACCTCCAACTTACACGATACAACAAAAATCATTGCTAAAAATAATCTCCCCACTAAAAAGCCTCTCCCAAGCAGAAAAACAATATCGTTATGAATCAACAGATAAATCAAACAGAAATAATGCAGCATTTCTGGCACAGGCAAGCCTATTCCCAAACGTCAGCCAGACGTATACAACGTTTGAGTTCCCGCGTAAATCGATCCGGGGTTGAATGTTTGGTTGGGGATAAGGGGAGATGATTTTACAAGCAGACGTGGATTAACACAGGGGGAATAACTATCCGTTG